CCGATAATTCATAATGAGAAATGAGAGAAAAATACTCTTTCATATGATAGGGTGAAGGATGGGACACGTCACCTCCGAGTTTACAAAATGTATAAAAACCCTAGGATTTGCCGAGCTTGTCCACCCGTGGAATATCCCTATTCTAGACCCTCACACACAGTCTTATGACAGTGTCAGTTTGATCTGACGGAAGCTCTGTGACGTCATGCGTTGAAATCGAAAGTTGATAAAACTCAATCCACCAAAAAGCAAGCGCTTACTTATGTGATCAGATTCGGACAACTCGGTCGCAGGAACTTCGTAACAGTTTCTGAGTCACGCTGCCCTCATTTCGTATTATGTTGAGCTGACTAGAACACAGCAAACTTATCAATGACGTAAGACATTCTGCGTTCACAGTTCTTACGTCACAGCCACTTATGGACTCACGGTACCATATCACCACAAGATCAAGATGTCCTCACGTTATGTCGGCCTCGGACAAGTAATTAGTGTTGATTTCATTATCCGGTTGACAAATAATCAATGGTTAATAGGGATAATATAGTTACAAATTCAATTAGCTTAATATTCATATGCCTTTTCCCTTAGATGTAAATTTCGCGTAGGTCTAGTATGATCACGTGACATTCTTTCATTATGCATTTTTTGGACATTAATGAAATGAGTGATATTCACAACATCATGTTTTCCTTATTGGTATAGATTTTGACAGAATCAATTTTGTCCATTATCCGTATTTTGTGACGCCCGAAGCCTGTCTACACAATCAGCCGAGCTCCATTAGACCATATGTTCTGTACATCATATCGATTATCGACGAACTTCGGCACCCACCCAAGGGACACTACTCAGTATTAAAGTCACATCATCGGCGGGTGGCCTATCGAATTGCACGTGTCGTCACATTCACTACATAGCTTCCAATCTGACATGCTATTTATTCCAGTAACACACACACGACATATCCCGAGCCACAACGTCCTTGTCAACCCTGGACGGGCTTGGTGTTTCAAGACGCAAATATCAATGCTTTATGGAGCTTTAATTTGAAACAGAATCACTGATAGACAATGAAATTCCCAAATGTGAAAAAAAACAACTTAAGTAACCAAGGCAAAATAAATAAATAAATAAATAAATAAATAAATAAATAGTAAACGTTGATAAATAAATAAGTAAAAGTGAATAACATCTAGTAACGCATTCCTGACTGAGTAGTATCACGCTTATTTGTGTTATTATTTGAAAAACACAAATACTGTTTCAACATAATGAACTTTTGGCATTACATAAACAGGGTAAATATTCAATAGGATTTGTATTAGGTTGTGTAACCGCGTACTTGATCAGGTAAATCATCACCTCATCAAAAAAAATTATCACAGTGATCCCAGAGAAAACATGAAATACTAAAAATAAGACCGGGTGCTCCGGAAGGGTAAGCGGCGCCTGTTTATCATCGACGCTCACGAGGCAAATAGTATTCAATTCGAATAATGTCATGTTATCAAAGTAAGAGTCGGCGCATTGACGGCGAAACCAGCATGCTCAAACTTGGCTAGAGTTAACGAATGGTTAATGAAAAAAATATAATATGAACTTCACCAAATTGGAAGCCGATTTACAGTTAACCAGGACTTTTTTTGTATTTCATAATGGTTGGAAAACCTGTTGTTACAGGAAAAAGGTAAACTAAAACCAGCATTTAGGATTGTTTTTACTAACAAAGTAATTTAATTTTCCAAGCAAGTTCGTTTGTGGAAGAGTACAACATGACCATGGTTTTCATCATCATCTGTCAAAAGTAGGTGGGAAGGTTAACAGGAAGATGTCAACAGCCCACAAACATCAGTTTTATGTCACCTTAGACGAAGTCTCAAGAGATCTTTTACAGTCGCCTTTTGTCCGTTGTCCGTCATCCGTCGTTACTAAATTCATATTTTGATATTTTCTCAATGACCAAAGGGCCCAGGGTGCTGGTATTGAGTCTGTAGCACGATGAGATGAAGATGAACAACTACCAAGTTTGTTCACATGAATAAATTAGCCATACGTTTTTGTACTTTCAAGGTTACAGGTATCAAACGCGTTCAGATCTTTAAACAATTACTTCTCAAATACCAAAAGGCCTAGGGCACTGATATTAGGTCTACAGCATTCTGGAAGGAGGGGCTAACAAGTTTGCTCGAATGAATGACAGTAGTAGGAAAGGAATGAGTTTCTCTGCAGCCATACCTAAAACTACGTGAATTACATTTCCCGCCATCCCGAGGGTCTCCTTCCCACAGGCCCTTAACAATATTGCCCCAAAATCTTTTTTTAAAAACACGGGAAATCCATTTCCGCCATCTCAAAAAAAGTACGTGAACTTTTTTTTTATATATTTTCTAGCGGTAGATGTTGTTCAATGTAGACATACTGTATCATGCCGACAGATACTTTATAATGCCGACAGATACTATATCATGCCGACAGATACTGTATAATGCTGACAGATACTATATCATGCCGACAGATACTGTATAATGTCTACAGATACTATATCATGCCGACAGATACTATATAATGCCGACATATATTGTATAATGCCGACAGATAATGTATAATGCCGACAGATAATGTATAATGCCGACAGATACTGTATAATGCTGAATGATAATGTATAATGCTGACAGATACTGTATAATGCTGACAGGTACTGTATAATGCGGACAGATACTGTATAATGACGACAGATATTGTATAATACTGACAGATACTGTATAATGTATAATGCTGACAGATACTGTATAATGCCGACAGATACTGTATAATGCTGACGGATACTGTATAATGCCGACAGATACTGTATAATGCCAACAGATCATGTATAATACTGACAGATACTGTATAATACTGACAGGTACTGTATAATGCGGACAGATACTGTATAATGACGACAGATATTGTATAATACTGACAGATACTGTATAATGCCGACAGATACTGTATAATGCTGACAAATACTGTATATTGCCCGTGAATACTGTGTAAAGCAACAATCATGAGTAAAGGATTGGCACTATTCATGTTTTTCCGCTGCACAATCTTTGATGCATCTTCTATGGACTAAAAGAAAATACGGGACCCTAATTCCAACGATGGCTTGGAGAATTACTACCAGTAACATATTTTCGTTATATTCTGTGTAAAAATAAGAAGGGGGGAGACCGAAGACGCCTATGTTAGCGATAACTTCAGCCTTCAAAAGAAACGTATCGGATGGCTTATTAAGATGGCCAGTAAACACCTATGTAGTGTCTACACAACGATAATACCTCAGTGGGGGATCTCTATCAATAGTTTTCAAGTAATTATATTTCAAACATATTTTTAGAAACTTTGAACAGCATTTGACCGATACCAAGCACTATACCTATTAAATGTGTGATATATATTATGATACGTATAAGTAATCCGTTTTTCAGGCTTAGACGGTATTTTCAACCTTTATAGAGTTAAGACATTTAAGAACACGTTTAACGTTTCTTTAGATTACATCCGCCCTAACGACGTCGGTGTAAACTCATCATCCCAGTCTTAACACATAGTTGTTGTTCCCTGCACATTTACAATGCAATTGTCTTTGAAGCAAGTGGTTGTTATTTTACGGAATACCATGCAAGAGGACCGCCTCCCACCTGATATCCAGATCAGCCGTGGTCAAAACATCACAGGGCGGTATGTGGTCTTAATACAAACCACCTTGGGTCATGATCGAACCATACAAGTCAAATCTTCACCAAAGGATGCAGAGTCCGACTTAACCGACCCAAAGCGCTGACGTACGTCATGTTAACTGTATGATAGATTCTATATCTTAACATGTCGGGGAGTTGGGTTAACATGTCGAGGTTTCGTAATAACATTCCGGGGTGTCGTGTGAACATGTCGGGGTGTCGTGTTAACCTGTCGGGATGTCGTGTTAACATGTCGGGGTGTCGTGTGAACATGTCGGGGTGTCGTGTTAACCTGTCGGGATGTCGTGTTAACATGTCGGGGTGTCGTGTTAACATGTGGCGGTATCCTGTTAACATGTCGGGGTGAGGTGTTAACATGTCGGGGTATCGTGTTAACATGTCGGGATGTCGTGTTAACATGTCGGTGTGTCGTGTTAACTTGTCGGGGTATCGTGTTAACATGTCGGTGTGTTGTGTTAACTTGTCGGGGTATCGTGTTAACATGTCGGGGTATCGTGTTAACATGTCGGGGTATCGTGTTAACATGCCGGGATATCGTGTTAACATGTCGGGGTGTCGTGTTAACATGTCGTGGTGTTGTGTTAACTTGTCGGTGTGTCGCAATAACATGTCGTGGTGTCGTGTTAACATGTCGGGGTATCGTGTTAACATGTCGGGATATCGTGTTAACATGTCGGGGTGTCGTGTTAACATGTCGTGGTGTTGTGTTAACTTGTCGGTGTGTCGCGTTAACATGTCGTGGTGTCGTGTTAACATGTCGAGTGTTAGGCTACCATTTCAGGATATCGGATGTCGGAGTGTCAGGTTAACATGCTAGAGTGTCGGATGTCGGGATGTTAGGACAAAATGTCGGGTTCACATGTAATGGTGATAAGTAACACATTGTGTCAAATCGATTTATCACGATTTCGAATTGTCTTTCTTGTTTAACGACGTCACTATGGAAAACAATCTTTCTTGACTCATGACGTCACTATCGTAGACACGTTTTCTTTCTTGACTTATGACGTCACTATCGTCATTTATCTTTCTTGACTTATGACGTCAGTATCGATACTCCGTAATAGTGAAGTAATTGAAATCCCTATATTGTCAGTTATGGGTTTTCTTTATGATAAGGTACAGTGAATCTTATTCCTAACTGGTTTTAACAACGTCTGGGTAGAGAGTTTTATTTTTCCGTTTCACTGATTCATCATTGGTTAAAACTTACTATCTTATCAGATGTGAATTGTTAACATCAAAACAAATACGTACCATTTCCATTCTTTGCCCCTCTTCTTCGTCATAGTGATAATCGTCTCGATCAAAAGTCCACCCAGCGCTCCAGTTAGGTACCAGCACCAAGACTTCCGAATTACCATGAATAATCGCCATATTGCAATCACTCCGTGAGCGGCGAACAGCACGCGCACAAGTAGAGCTCGAATGATGGTCATGCACCTCATTTTGATCAGCTGTATCACTCTGTATTCTCAAACTTCGAACCTCAGAATATGCACAGATTTAATCCTTCTGAATATCCGAGGTCCATACCATCATTTTTCTTTCAGCTTTGCTGAGTTATGACATGATGCTATATCATTGCCAGGACGCGGGGAATAATTTTGGTACTTGAGCGGAAGTTTTCGGACCAGGGTTCTAGTAACTCTTCAGAATCCGAGAGAAACCGCTTACGTCATTAGCAGTTAGCTAACACTTCAAAGTAGAAAGTTTGACTTTGGCATCCAAAAGAGGCCGGAATCGACCCTGCACTGAATAACAGCGATATCTTGTTTGATTTATCGGCAGTGGAATTCCAAATTAATCATTGCGATGTACAGTCAATAATTCACAACAGTAAGTACAAAAAGATTAAACTGAACTAGTTAGTGAGGTATCTTAAGGTTGGCCGTTTAGTTATTTCTTTATGACTTCCTTGTACTAACGTTTTCAGTTGTTTGATATCCAGTGTGTTGTATCTATACAAATACTATAGTCTCAGTATTTGTATCGTAAATATCTTTATATTCCTCCCTATGCCTTTCTGTCCTTCATAATGATAACGCCAGGTGCGCTGTTGACGTAGAAAACTTTCTCGCCATTAGAAAAAAAAAACGATTTTCCACTCAAGATAATCCAACCATTTCGAGATAAACGAAATTTTCACTGTTATGAAATTGCACTTAGTATGTTGCGTCCAATTGGTCGAGACGCAATCGATAGCGATATTATATATTAATCAACAAAGTCATTTAATTAGCAATTAGCAAATGTAGTTAATTGTTCTTTCCGAGGAATATCAACGTACACAAGGTTAAAAGGACCAATTTCTCCTCGTTCACAACACGGAATATACTTATATCCACAGAATTTTTAATGTCTTTCAAAAGTTCATTTTTTCAGACGAATTATGTCCTCATCTTTCAGAAATATAGAAAGTTATAGAAGTCTCTTAAAAAGTTAAAGAAACTTCTGATTCCGGAGAATTTGAAAACTCAATTCTGTACCTTCTAGTATGGGATCTGTGGCTGTTTTGTCTCCGGTCACCTCAGCATGTCCATCTCCATATACCAATTACTATTGAGATCAGACTGAAGAAACACTGTGACCTTTATGAAGTTGACAATCCCTACAGTATTTGTGCTGGCTCCAATTAGCTAATGATCAGGCTTGCTTTCTAAGTTAATATGTCCAAGGGGATGAATTAGGATATTCAAACCTGATAACTTTAAAGTTCGTGAATTCCACGTGCGAATGTGCTGTGGTGTAAATCAGAGTTCTTTGCATGTTGGCACGTTGTTTCTGATAACACCTAACATATCTACATCATCACTGAATATATTTCCATAACTATTTCATTTCAACATCCCCCCCAAATACTATGTAATCAACTCACCCATTGGCTGTCTGTTAGATCGATCAAGCATCCCAACTGATACACCGGCACACTCGCGAGGAGCAGTCCTTCCCAAATATCAGAGGCGCTGGGAAACAATTCCCCAGAGCGGTGTGTGTATTCATATCTACTGTATGTACGCTATTCATAAGGAGTCTCATCTATTAAACTTAATATACAAAATAGAAACGGGAACTGACAGAAATGAGGATAATTAAACCATAATTACCAGAATCAACACTAAATCACGACAAAGTGTGATTTGATCAGTCAAGTGTGTGTTGAAAGTAAAGCATATTCTCTAATGTTTTTGATAAGTAAACTGCTGATTGTATATATACAGTTCGTAATGTTGATTTAAACACACTTCTAACACTAACGTTTTTTTCTTCACATTTTTCTGTTGTAACATGGAAAGTCATTTATCTGACAATGCATATCAAATCACTTTAAATGATGACGTCATCACTTAAAAAATATGTCTATTCATTGAAAAAAAAATAAAGGAAAGCAAGTAATTTATTTCGTAGTGTCATGGCATCTGTACAAACACGGTATGTAATCGTCTGATTGTAAAAAACAGAACAGTGCCATGTCATCAACAAAACACTACAAACACGGCCTGTATCGTCTGATTGTAACAAACAGGACAGTGTCATGTCATCTACAAAACACTACAAACACGGCGTGTCATCGTGTGATTGTAACAAACAGGACAGTGTCATGTCATCTACAAAACACTACAAACACGGCGTGTCATCGTCTGATTGTAACAAACAGGACAGTGTCATGTCATCTACAAAACACTACAAACACGGCGTGACATCGTCTGATTGTAACAAACAGGACAGTGTCATGTCATCTATAAACTGTACAAACACGGTATGTCATTGTCTGATTGTAACAAACAGGACAGTGTCATGTCATCTATAAACGGTACAAACACGGCATGTCATCGTCTGATTGAAACAAACAGGACAGTGTCATGTCATCTACAAAACACTACAAACACGGCGTGACATCGTCTGATTGTAACAAACAGGACAGTGTCATGTCATCTACAAAACACTACAAACACGGCGTGTCATCGTCTGATTGTAACAAACAGGACAGTGTCATGTCATCTACAAAACACTACAAACACGGCGTGTCATCGTGTGATTGTAACAAACAGGACAGTGTCATGTCATCTACAAAACACTACAAACACGGCGTGTCATCGTCTGATTGTAACAAACAGGACAGTGTCATGTCATCTATAAAACGGTACAAACACGGTATGTCATCGTCTGATTGTAACAAACAGGACAGTGTCATGTCATCTACAAAACACTACAAACACGGCGTGTCATCGTGTGATTGTAACAAACAGGACAGTGTCATGTCATCTACAAAACACTACAAACACGGCGTGTCATCGTCTGATTGTAACAAACAGGACAGTGTCATTTCATCTATAAAACGGTACAAACACGGTATGTCATCGTCTGATTGTAACAAACAGGACAGTGTCATGTCATCTACAAAACACTACAAACACGGCGTGTCATCGTGTGATTGTAACAAACAGGACAGTGTCATGTCATCTATAAAAATGTACAAACACGGCGTGTCATCGTCTGATTGTAACAAACAGGACAGTGTCATGTCATCTACAAAACACTACAAACACGGCGTGTCATCGTGTGATTGTAACAAACAGGACAGTGTCATGTCATCTACAAAACACTACAAACACGGCGTGTCATCGTCTGATTGTAACAAACAGGACAGTGTCATGTCATCTATAAAACGGTACAAACACGGCGTGTCATCGTCTGATTGTAACAAACAGGACAGTGTCATGTCATCTACAAAACACTACAAACACGGCATGTCATCGTGTGATTGTAACAAACAGGACAGTGTCATGTCATCTGTAAACGGTACATTCACGGCGTGTCATCGTGTGATTGTAACAAATAGGACAGTGTCCTGTCATCTACAAAACACTACAAACACGGCGTGACATCGTCTGATTGTAACAAACAGGACAGTGTCATGTCATCTACAAAACACTACAAACACGGCGTGTCATCGTCTGATTGTAACAAACAGGACAGTGTCATGTCATCTACAAAACACTACAAACACGGCGTGTCATCGTGTGATTGTAACAAACAGGACAGTGTCATGTCATCTACAAAACACTACAAACACGGTATGTCATCGTCTGATTGTAACAAACAGGACAGTGTCATGTCATCTATAAACTGTACAAACACGGTATGTCATCATCTGATTGTAACAAACAGGACAGTGTCATGTCATCTATAAACGGTACAAACACGGCATGTCATCGTCTGATTGAAACAAACAGGACAGTGTCATGTCATCTGTAAACGGTACATTCACGGCGTGTCATCGTGTGATTGTAACAAATAGGACAGTGTCCTGGCATCTACAAAACACTACAAACACGGCGTGTCATCGTGTGATTATAACAAACAGGACAGTGTCATGTCATCAACAAAACACTACAAACACGGCGTGTCATCGTCTGATTGTAACAAACAGGACAGTGTCATGTCATCTATAAAACGGTACAAACACGGTATGTCATCGTCTGATTGTAACAAACAGGACAGTGTCATGTCATCTATAAACTGTACAAACACGGTATGTCATCATCTGATTGTAACAAACAGGACAGTGTCATGTCATCTATAAACGGTACAAACACGGCATGTCATCGTCTGATTGAAACAAACAGGACAGTGTCATGTCATCTGTAAACGGTACATTCACGGCGTGTCATCGTGTGATTGTAACAAATAGGACAGTGTCATGTCATCTACAAAACACTACAAACACGGCGTGTCATCGTGTGATTTTAACAAACAGGACAGTGTCATGTCATCTACAAAACACTACAAACACGGCGTGTCATCGTCTGATTGTAACAAACAGGACAGTGTCATGTCATCTATAAAACGGTACAAACACGGTATGTCATCGTCTGATTGTAACAAACAGGACAGTGTCATGTCATCTATAAACGGTACAAACACGGCATGTCATCGTCTGATTGAAACAAACAGGACAGTGTCATGTCATCTATAAAACGGTACAAACACGGCGTGTCATTGTCTGATTGTAACAAACAGGACAGTGTCATGTCATCTACAAAACACTACAAACACGGCCTGTAATCGTCTGATTGTAACAAACAGAACAGTGTCATGTCATCTATAAAACTGTACAAACACGGCGTGTCATTGTCTGATTGTAACAAACAGGACAGTGTCATGTCATCTATAAAACGGTACAAACACGGTATGTAATCGTCTGATTGTAACAAACAGGACAGTGTCATGTCATCTACAAAACACTACAAACACGGCGTGTCATCGTGTGATTGTAACAAACAGGACAGTGTCATGTCATCTACAAAACACTACAAACACGGCGTGTCATCGTCTGATTGTAACAAACAGGACAGTGTCATGTCATCTATAAAAATGTACAAACACGGCGTGTCATCGTCTGATTGTAACAAACAGGACAGTGTCATGTCATCTACAAAACACT